CCCCCCAATTCCACCCACCCGTCTACCTACACCCCAAGCGTTAATTTTGAAAAAATGTGTTTGATTCATAGTGTGAGAAATGTGAGGATTAAATAAACACCTTTTCTCTTTTCTCAAGGTTCACTGTACACAAATTAGTGTGAAGAAAATCAAATCATATGAAAATGAGCAGGATGAAAATAGAAGAATATAGAAAAAAGAAAATCTTTTGCCTGACTTTTGGAAGATGCAGAGTTATTCATAAAAAATAAAATACCTGAGTTTTCACGTGTGTGTGTCTGTGTGTGCAAATCTACACACAGCAGAGAAAAAGCTCTACAGTGGAATTTAATTAATTCACTATTTAACTCACAAACATAATAAGTGTGTTTCTTTAATTGAATAAATCCTAACAAATACTAAAACATTATTTTCTGTACAGTGCATTTTCAAAAATTGTGCACTTTCAAATTATTTAAACTTATCAAACAAATGCCACAATAAAACAAATGCATGGATAAAATACAACTATCGCTAGAATATAAAATTACACTAAAAAAGACAACAAATACAGATGAGCTTTCCCCCAAAATGTACATTTCTATACTCTAACTAAGGAACTGCTAAGAGTCGTCATCAAATTGCAATGCAGCAAGGGACATTGTCGTCTTCCGAACTCTATCACAAGTTTAAGGAAAGCCAATGGTAAAAATGCCTTTACGGCTGTACAGTGTAAGAATCATTTCACCACCAACTGCATATGACTTTTTACACTGCCAAAATATGTCTTTACTTGATGACCGAAAAAGGATCAAAACTGAATTAATGCATCACTACAAATCCACTGTCCACATAAGACTAGGAGCAAACAGCGCAGATGCTAGCATTAGGCTTAATTCCTAAAATAGCAAGGATTAACTTCAAATTACAATTAAGATAAAGTCAAGCTGGTATGAAGAAAGACTGTAAACTTCGATAGAATGTCTATCAATAGCACAATGTAAGTAGTGAGCAGAGCTAAAGGGCGTTAAGGCAGACAGCAAGAGGACGGAGCCTCAAAGAGATTGACCAAAAATCTGAATATGAGAGACAAGAAAGTAAGGATTAGTCAAAAAAGTTGGAGAGCTTTGAGAGATCCTACATTATTTTTTCGCAGGGGGCCTCTGTGAGCGTCTTGACACTTGTAACTTCAGGAGGGTTTCTGCTCACATCTTCTCCAGCCCTCAGGACTCATCCCACTGAACACTAGATGGGGTTCCACTAAAGCTGCCGTGGTCCAGGACAAGATTCAAATCTCAGAAGCTCTGCCCCGGTGACATGGTTAAAGCTTAAGGGGAGGGAAAAAGGCAAAGCAAGTCCTTCAGGCTACACCTAAACTCACACCACATAAACAATGGCAAAATGACAAGCGAGGCACTCTGTGTTTGCAGGGAGAAACAGCGCAAAAGGGGGCTGCCCTGCCAATCTCTCCTCTAGGGGGGCCACTCTGATAGGGCATAAGGGGATGGTCACAACATTGATAAGGCCCCACAGTCAAACACACTCTTAAATAAAAAAGCTGAGGCCTTGCTGGGCCGCCTGCAGCTCTCATCAGCAGGGTCAATGGCAAGGCAGAGAGGAACACAGTGAGCCCTGAACTCTGATCACCTCCAAACAGAGGGACGCTGGCAAAGGTTAAAACAGCTCAACATCCCACCCTCTGTGGCTCTCACTCCGACCTCCCAGTAACTACAGCCCTGAGCATCACTGATATTCAGCTACAAATACAATGACTTTCTGTTTCCCTTTCTGCTACCAGAACACTCTAGAAAGACACACAACTCATTTATAATGAGCACTGCTTCAGCTAAATAATCCCAAACTTAAAGACAACATGGTCATACTCTTATAATTACATACACAAGACACTTGCAACTATTTTAGCATATGGCCTAGACATAATTAGGAATTTTTGCATTCTGCAGATGGGTTGTTGAAACAAGTGACTTTCCCTCACTCCCCTTTATTAGATTTAAAGGAAATTTAGGGGAAAGAAACAGCACTCAGGGATAGACAAGGTTTTGCATTAATCATCAAGTTCCTAAAATCACGTGAAACAGCGTTTCAATGCGTGACTTTCTCCCGAAAGGAATATTTATTTTAAATATTTATTTTAAATGCACATGCTTTTCAGGTTGTGCTAAACACAGTGTGCTGCACAGAATTTTTTATTTTCTCGCATGAAATCTGTAGGCCATTTTTCTAAAAAATTTAAATCAAAAGATGTATTTATTTTTAAATTGCAGAAAGTATAAATTTTGTGCGGCAAAATTCGATCACACTGCGCCGAATAACAAAGTCGGGGCTTCTTTCCATTTATGAACATTTATGAAATTACTTAAAATATTAATGGATATTTTTTCCTCCTAATGAACGCATGACTGAAAAGTCGGTCAACAAAAATACACGCTGCAACGTCCTGTAGCGAAATGAAAGCTTTATTTATAACTATTCTACAGTGATCTGAAACGCAGTTTTATTAGTGTCTTGTTTGGCTCGAGTATTCATTCCCCTTTTCTACAAAAACAAAGCAGCTTGCAATTAATTATAACTTTACTGGCTTATGTTGGCCTCTGAAACTCTGAGAGCTCATGCAAAGTCCTGAAAGCCACTTTGTACAAACTCATTTCACATTTTAGGCACCACTTTTCTAACAAAGCATTCTTACTGCAGTTTTTTCAAAGGTGTAAGATGGTCGCATTGGCTACAAGTCCGCAAGTTAAAATTAGGAAATCGGTTTATCTATATCGACATGAAACTATCTTTTGGACGAATCGGTTGTGTATTTGTGGAGACAGAATGGCCGAGACAAAACTTCAGTTTCCCAAATATTTGGTTTCTTCTTCTTCTTCTTCTTCTTCTTCTTCTTCTTCCTTTTTATAAGAAAAAAAATTGCCTAAAGACGGGTAAACTAAAGAGACCGTCACAGGAGGAACTGGGAAAGATGTTTGTTCATTAACGTTCTCCGGCGCACTCTGTCCTCCTTTCATCTTACTTAAAAAAAAGAGTAACAAGCCATGGCGTAGACTGTTGATATATTTTCATAAAAGAAGGAGATATCTGTACGAGTTTGCAGCGCAAAGTTGAAGCACACGGAATACGGTATTTGTCGGTCCGGGACCAAAGAAAAGTTGGGAGTCCCGACAGGGGCGACAGGGTGGTCGATGTCGAGGCAAGACGCCGACCGCTGAACGCAGGGAAGCCTGAGTGCGAGCGGAGCGATTATTTATTTATTTAAAACGCGCTAAAGTTAAGATTAAAAACTTTTGAAACTTTTAAGTCACACCGAGCTCAAACCCAAAGAAAACGCACCATATCTGTGTTCTTATATTTCACTTATTAACCGCCTAGAACTGAGTTTTAACCCCTGATAATAAAATAATCAGCGCAGAAATGTCAAGTTACCCCAAATTGTTCTTGGTACTTGAATAATGGGGGAAATTCGTGGAAAATCGGTGCATCAACTTTTGTTAAAAGTCGACCATACTTTCATCAAGAAGTCACTTGAATTTGTAAAGAAATCAACAAAAAACTAACAGCATAAACTCCAATTCAAAGTCTTCCTTAACAGTGAGAGTTGACCGCGGACACAATAAAAACATCGCTTAAAAGAAAGAAAAATTCACGGTGATTGCATAAAAGGAGCGTTGGGTTACTTGGACTCACCATTGTGCTCCGATAAAGGCAGATGAGGGTCGGATTGGAAGTGTTGAGGCTTCGCTTGCTTCCTCCGCGACATGCTGGCTGGCACATCAGCAGGCAAAGAATAAAAAAATGACTACAAAACCTTCTAAAAAATTACGTAAATCGAGAACATCCACCGCGCATGTGCCCCGTTATGATTATCAATAATGCTCTGCGATTAATCATACGGGGGCTTCTTTGAAAGGCGATTGGCACCTTGCCAGCCCCCCTCCTATTCAAATGAAGTCTCTTTAATCAATTAGCTCCTGATTTGCTGGGGACTCTTGTCTCTCTCTCAGCTCCCACCCAATGAGTTGATCCGTATGAGGAAGAAAGGCTGGGTTTTCCAAACTCCCTTTATATACGGTTTAACCCCTTCTGTTAGCCAAGTCAAGGCTTATCTTGACTACTACAGGGGAATGTCAGCGTCTCGAGTCCATGCCCGCGACAGTATCTTTCAGTCTTTTGCAGTCATCACAGTTTATTTTCTTTCTTTTTTCCTTTTCCCCTGTTGATGTGGATTGACGGGACGCTCGCAACTCAAACCTTCACGATCTCCAACCAACTTTAATTTCACTACAACTCGGTAGTCCGTTCTCCACTCTTGCGTAAAGATCGCTGTAATTCAGCTCTTGTTGTGTGCACACCGACACCTACTTTCTGAAGAGTTTGAAGCGAAGCTCCCGGTGCGGTAAAACGCAACGTCTCGCCAGCATGTTCCGTGCGTAAATGGCACCGTTACGCGTTCCCAAAAGTCCAGAGTGAGATCCGACGTCCCAATCACTTTGATTTGATTATTATTAGCAGAAAGAGGGGTTACTTACTAACACGTTTTCATCACACACTGCGTTCCGCGAATAAACAAACTTTGAGGGCCCGTGCGGCAGTGGGACAAATGTGGAGCCCGGCCCATCGAGGATCTGATTGGTCATCGGGCTATTCAGTCACGTTACCATTCACCTCCACCTCCCTCTCCCTCGCTCCCGCTCTCTCTCTTTCTCTCTGATTGAGCACAGCAGAGCCAAACGGTTTGTGCGCGCCGGGATGATCAGTGGTAAAGAGCGGAGAGACAGAAGTCTGTTCATCTGAATGGGGATAAATTAAGCTTTTAAATTCTTCCCCAAACACTTTTTTTAACGAATGCTTGCCTCATATCCATGTCACGCGGACTAATCTATATTTCACATCATGCATTTGGAAAAAAAAAAAACCTAAACTTTTCTTTATATATTCACCATCCACTGGGTTGTTTATGTTGTAAAATCGGCATGAATTACTGCATAATGTCCTTATCAAAAGTTAAATGTTTGGCCTGTTTTATTTTATCATAATGGTAAATGTTTTTATTAGATTGACAATTGGCCAATATATTTCAGCTGATAACGGCAAAGCAAATAAAACGATGTCTTAATCGAGCCTGTGGATTACAGAAGTTACATTATTATTATTATTATTATTATTATTATTATTATTATTATTATTATTATTATTATTATTATTATAAATAATGCATTAACAGGAGTGCGCATTCACTTGGGATGCTTAAGAGGGCAAGAGATCCCACAGGAGCTTCTTGTGAGCGCTGAGTCGAGTAGATTTATTACCTGAAAAAGATAAACGAAGCTTTCAGTCAGGCTGATTTTGAGAAATGAAGATAATAATGTTACTATAGGTGATGCCTCGGATGCCATTATTTTTCACTGAATATTTAAAGAGCAGCTGCAGGCTAGATGGATCTGGTCCTCTCTTGTGTCAGATATCTTTTAGTTTCGACTAGCCTTACTATTTACTTATTCATGAAAAAAGGAAAGAGCAGAGGGAAAATCAAATACCTCTGATGGCCTTAGTGATCTGCTTTATCAATGCGTTAGGTCGAATAATTAAACAGCACACATAATTTTCAAATGGAACATTCTTTTCTTCTTCTTCTTCTTCTTCTTCTTTTTTGGGGGGAGGGAGTATCAATTGATGCGTAAACTGTCCACAAACCTGGGGACCAGATCGAAATTAAAGCTGTGACTAAAAAAAATCAAAGAGCAAATTATCATTAGTAGGGGAAAATGTGTATGTGCGCGTGCAGTTAAAAAGCCCGTGCAATTATATGCAGGAAACTTGAAATTGCTAGGAGAGGAAAAAGGGGTCTGCAATATTGTAATGTCCCGGGCGGAAAAATCAATGGCCAGTTAATTGATGTGAGTGTTGGTGTGAGATTGTAAACAGGGTGATTTGCAGCCCAGCCGAGCAGGAGACATTTTAAATGGGATTCACTCGGGACGGTTGAGGATACAGTGTTAACAGTCATGGGCTGAATGACACAGGCGGACACAGTTTGGGGACCCAACAGATATAACTCAGTGCCAGTGCTTAAAAAAGTTTTAAACTGACTTAAACGTTTTTTATTTCTTTTCTTTTTTCAGAGGCGTGTGTCTGCCTGAATTATTATTTATTATCTGTTGAGTGAGAAAGCGGGAAAAAATAAATATTTAACATAAAAATGTTTATCATACTAATGATAATGATATTAATATTAATATTAATATTAATGTATATTTCCTTTTTTTTAAACTATTAAAACCTTTGGTTAACGGTGAATGTAATAACCGTTTATTTAACAGGCGCATCAAACAGTTTCTTTTTGTCACTGTGGGGGGAAAGTGCTTTCAAAGAAAAGTGACAGAAGCCTTTGGCGCATAAAAAGTGCGCATTTGTCGGTTATGCGCAATCAATGCTGCGCGCACCATATCAGAGACGGTCTGTCGTGGGTGTCATCATTCACTATTATCACCGACACGTCGTGATTGATCACGTAGCTCAGAAACACTGCACGTCTGAGCGCATAATGCGATAGTTAAAGCGAGGAATCTACCAAAGCGCAGTTGTTAGTGACCCTCACACTCTGTATTTCTAACTAGAAAGCCCCCTTTTTTCTGCTTATTCAACACGTGGTGGGTTTCTATTCACGGTCCTGCTCGACTCGATGCCTAAAGAATTACAACTAGCTGGATTAGGCCTTCATCTAGGTCAGCTGCACGTGTGTGCGTGTGTGTGTGCGCGCGCGCATAGTATTTGTGATAACAGTCGCACAAATGGCAAAAAGAGAGAGTGGACAAAACTCAAGGTTTTACAAGAAAGCAGAGTCTCGTGATTCCAGTAAGTATGAAGAGGAGTGGAGTCCCTGATTAACAGGGCTGCTGCTTACATGGACAATAGGTTTGATTCATATGTTATGAGTAAAGAGCCTCTGTTAAAAAATACCAAAAAGTTATAGAGATAATATTAAGAAAGGGCCTTTTTAATAATAACAAATACAATCACAAACAACCATAGGCTGAAATTCCCTAAAATGTTTTATTTTGTGGCAGGATAAATAAACTAGTACATTATTCCTTCTTTTCTTTATTAATGACAACTGATGAAGTCAATGGTCCCCCTCATTCCCAGAACAAATATCAAGTGCCTGGCATTATTAATGGCACCATGATGTCTTTACTAAAGGATTATGAGCTTGATTAAAGGGATTGTTGTAAGCTGGCCTCATGCTCAAATAAAGAAATAAGGCCATATTTTCCTTCTACCAAGTCACACACTCTGTCACTGTATGACTCTTAACAGAACAGTACTGCTATGTTTAGGGTGCCCAACCTCAGTATTACTCAGTATTTGAATTATTCCACATTAAAGTCTTCTAAAAAACCAAAACGAATAAATAAACAGAAAAACAATAACAAAAAAAAAACATATCTAAAGTTAATCAGATTATAGGGCTATGGGGAAAGAAAAAACACTCCAGCTAGAGCAGAAATTATTGGTTCATTTACTTGAAGTATGAAGTGAGATTTCTTTGTCTTCCAGACAATCAGAATGCAGCATTTGGCACTGTTTTGCCACCAAAGGAATCCCATTGAAAAATCGCCTGCATTAAAATTCAATACCTGCAGCAGCACCGACTAGCCTCCATTAATTAAGAGATCAAACCCTTTCTATTGTCCCCCAGCAGCCCTGCCACCACTTGTCCCACAGATTGTTTTCCCCCATTGTGCCCTCTGACATCTTCCTGCAGCATCGCCCGATATCAATGGGCCGTGTTTGTTTTTACATTATCTCAGCTGCAGTTACAGACACCCCCTTTCAATCTCATCTTGTTTGAGGGAAAACAAGCAAACATTCAAGGGTGTCGCAGAGGTGCTAGAGGTCACTGGTCCATCACACATATCCTGCATGTCCAGGCTCTGTGTGTGTGTGTGATTGTGAGTTTGCATGTGCCACTGGTACAGCCATCTGTGGCACAAACACTGTGAGTGATTGTGTTTAAGCTGTAGCTACTCAGGTACAAGTGTACTAGTGTTAGGAGATGTGTGCCAATGGATCCTTGACAAAGAGCTTCAACCCCCCCCCTCCCTCGTTATTAGTGAGAGAGGCCAGGCTTCAGTGTCTTTCTGAATGGTGTAACTGGACACCAAACATTACAGGCGGGATGCACTCAAACATAAAACTACATTTGCATCCTTTTGGATAGTTTGCAAACACTAGAATGCTTTTGTTTCAGATAAAATATAAACACAGCACAATTTAGAAGAGATTAAAACTTTATGATAGTATAACTTGCTGCATTCTTGTATTAAAAACAATTAATTACACTTTTCAATTTGGACAAATTCAAATCATAGTTTGTTTCGCATCAGATATGACTGATTATTAACTGATGATTCTTATTTATAACTAGGCGTTTAAATAGATATAGCTAAGTAATATACACAGCACTTGAGCAAAACGAACCTTTAGCTTTAGTTCACTAAGTTTATTAGCTTTATGGCTGTTTCTCATTACTGTCCACCCAAGTTTTTTTTCTCAATAGATACACTCAGTCACAGTGATGCAATCGTTCAATCCTTCAATTGTTATCATACAAATTCACTTGATTGTATCTGATTAAACATGTTCGCTTGAGTTGCATTAACGACAAACACGGTGGTACTGGACGACCACCAAGACTCCCATTTTAGCTCCTTCGTATTCTTGAAAAACACATTGTGCTTTCATATGACATTGACAAATGATATTTGGATGAAGAGGGATGCTTAGATGGTTAGATGTTTCACAGAATGGAGCCGGATTACACTGACACACATCACTAAGGCTGGAGGTTATAGAGGAACCAAACACTCCAAACATCTTGAAGAAATTACAGACATCACCCACCGAAAGCTGAGTGTTTATGTATTCTTAAGAACCTGGAAGCAAAACTAAAAATTACACATCGACTTATCCCTACATTACTTCACACGCTCGTAAACACAGAATATACAGAATATACACATGCAATGTCTGTGTCACAGCCACAAAGCAAGCCGGGCGGGTAATGTAACCACACACAAAGCAACGTGCAGGTAACCACCGAGCCAGCAGACACGCCACGTAAAACAAAAAAAAACACACATTCTTACAGTAAATACAGCCACAAAGTTGAAACATATCAAGCGGTTTATTCGCAGTGACTCTGGGCACAAGATGTTTATCAACTGCCGCCAGACAGCTGTGTTGGTCGGCCAGCAGTTAACTGTGTCTCAGACAGCCTCTTATTGCTATTGATAGTTAGCATCAGTGTCCTGGCTGAGGAATGTGACTGCTATAGGCAAACACAAGCTATTGATCTTCAGCCTGTCCCTCACCGGCCTGGAGCTACAGAGGGAAAGAAATGGGAGTGGAGGCCGGGCGGAGCCTTCATACTCACTGTCTGGCACCTGGGAGAGCTACCGGTGGTGCTGGTCAGGAGTGTATTGAGAAAGATCTCACTCTTTTAGATTGCTGCTTTGTGTTCAAATTAACAGCCTGCATCTATTAATGAAGCATTAGCTAAATTATTCATTTATAGTCCCATTT